TAACAAGTGTAATATCCACTAAAGCACAGCTTAAGTATATAACACCAACAGGTTCTGCTGAGTAACAACATAAGTCAAGTCACCCTTCACCTTGCAGCTCAGGGCATCAGCAACGACCTTCGCCTTCCCCAGATGGTATTGAATAGTGCAATCATAGTCCTTAACAAGCTCTAACCAATGACGTTGACGCATGTTGAGCTCCTTTTGAATGAAAATATACTGTAATCTCTTCTGATCAGTGAAAATTTCGCATCGACCACCGTATAAATAATGTCGCCAAATCTTGAGGGCATGAACTACCACTGCTAACTCCAGGTCGTGTGTAGGATAATTCTGTTCATGGGGATTTAATTAGCGTGATGCATAAGCAACGACCTAGCCATCTTGCATAAGTACGCATCCCAAACCCTGTCTTGAAGCATCACTAAAAATGGTGAAACTCCGAGAAGGATCGGGAATAGTCAACACTGGTGTTGTGGTAAGTCTCTTCGTGAGCTCCTGAAAACTAAATTCACATCGATCAGTCCACTCGAACTTCACAGATTTCCTCGTCCGCTGGGATAAAGGAAGGGCAATCTTAGAGAAACACTCGATAAACCTGCTATAATAACCTGCCAAATCGAGAAAACTGCGAACCTCAGATGGATTCTTCGGTGTCGACCAATTCTGAACAATGGCAACTTTGGATAGATCAACCTCGATACCTGCCTGAGTGATAACATCGCCAAGAAAGGCTACTCGCTGGTGCCAGAATTCGCATTTAGAGAATTTAGCATATAACTTTTCACGTCTAAGGGTTTCGAGAACAACCCTCAGATGCTCCTCGTGCTCCTTCTGGCTCTTGGAGAAGATTAGAATATCATCAATGAAAACAATAACAAATTGATCGAGATAAGGATGGAAGATACGGTTCATCAGGTCCATAAATACTGTTGGAGCGTTACTGAGGCCAAATGGCATAACTACGAACTCATAGTGACCGTACTGGGTACAAAATACGGTCTTTGCAATGTCTGTCTCTTTGATCTTCAGCTGATGGTAACCTGATCGTAAATCAATCTTAGAAAATACACAAGCTCCCCTCAGCTAGTCAAATAAATCATCAATTCTGGGAAACGAATATTTATTCTTGATAGTTAACCGGTTGAGATCTCGGTAATCAATACACATGCGCATAGAACCGTCCTTCTTTTTGACGAAAAGAACGGGTGCTCTCCACGGTGAAACACTCGGTCGGATAAAATCGAGTTTCAATAACTCTTGAATTTGGGCCTTAAGCTCTTGTAATTCTTTCGACGCCATTCGATAAGGTACTTTGGAAACTGGGCCGGCTCCTGGAATAAGACCAATAGAGAACTCTACCTGCCAGTTAGGTGGTCCTCCTGGAAGTTGGTCCGGAAACACATCCACAAACTCACGCACAATAGGAACGTCGTGAGGTGTCCGTGCTTTCGGTTCATCGCTGACAAGACTTACAAGATAACCCTGACAATCACCTCGTCGTAACATCTTTTTGGCTTTCGCCATGGAAATAACATGAGGTAAAAAACGAGTCTTGGTGCCAAAGAAAGTAATATGATCATCTCCCAGAAGATAAAGAGTAATCTCCCGGTCGTGGCATCGAATATCTGCATGGAAATAAGTTAGCTAATCCATATCGAGAATGAGGTCAAAGTCCCTCATCTCGAGAACATAAGCGTCGGTAGACAAGATACGACCACCGATAGAAAGGTTGAGATCTATTTCTTTGGCATCAGTCACTATCTTTTGTCCCGAGGCTAAACTTACCTCGAGAGGATCGACAGCGGTAATAAAATGTCCTCCAATGGCATCAAGACATCGTCGCTATATAAAAGAGTGTGTTGCACCAGTATCAAATAGGGCGAATACAGGAACATCGTTAAGCATAATCATCCCAGACATAGTACCTAGGTGCTGCTCCATCTTGGCCTAGTCTACCGCATAAACACGAGCCTGCTGTCTGCCCCTCTGCTGTTGCTGCTGAGGTGGCCTCGGGGCCTGTTGTCTGGGCTGTTGTTGCTGTGGCTGCTGTGGTGGCTGCTCGCTCTGGGCAGTTGCTGACAAAATGTTCGGGCTGATGGCAATAATAGAGATCCTGGCCGAAATGGCACTCTCCACGATGGGGACGTCCGCAGGTAGTGCATGGTGGAATCTGTTGTGGCCTGGCTGTTCCTGGTTGTCTCGGACAGATCCTCCTGTCAGTCTGGAAGCTCTTTCCCTTCCTCTTCTTGTCCTTCGGTTGTTAGGCAGCAACTGGTTGAACTGGTGGGGCCGATGATGATTGGGAAGGGGTAAATGGCTAAAGACGATTGTGGTTGGCCTCCCTTCGAATGCTTGCGTTCACCTCTTGGGCTATAGTAACTGCACGGGCATAGGATTGGACTCCATGGCCTACAATGTTATGACGGACTACTGGCAAAAGCCTGTCAGTGAAACGCCTCGATCTCTTTGCCTCTGTGCTCACCAAATCAGGAAAAAAGGCTCTAAGTCGAGTGAATTCTCGCTCATACTCATCCACTGTACGAGTACCTTGTTTGAGTGCCAGAAATTGACGTTCCATCTCAGCTCGATAGTACGCGGGATAATATTTCTCGCGTATTAGCTCCTTGAACCTGTCCCATGTACAACCTTCCTTTTCACCGGGACGCATTCCCCAGTAAGCGTTCCACCAGAGACGTGCGTCACCCGTCAATTGGATATGTGCGCATAAAACACGATAGCGGTCGGGGCAGTTCATGACCTCGAAAATCATTTCAAGGCCCTGAACCCATTCGTCAACAATTCGTGGATCTCCCTGGCTGGAAAATTTCTCCGGGCGGTAGTAAGGAAACTGTGCGACTACGGTGGCTTGGGGAACCTCCTGACGATCTGGTTCTTTTCGTGGCGGCATCTGAATATTGAAAATGTTCAATACCATCAGATTTAATAAGAATACTTTAACTGATTAATAATACGCACAAATCTCTTGACGAGTTGCTTAACATGGCCTGGAAATACTGACATTGAATTATGGATACACTGAACTATAAATTCTGAACATGACTCGAGCATCCTAACTAAGTCATAACTGTAAATTTTAATGAACATAGAGGTAGTAATTTGTTTAGAATTTTGAAGCATGAATCAGCACTTACCTGTAGTCGGCGGGGCGTGAGCATGACGGGTTCAATTTTTTCAAAAATTTCTGACATGTAAAAGTATTCAGAGATGCAGAAACGTGCTCTGATACCAACTGTAACACCCTGCTATGTCATAATTATCAGAGTTAAATTTTCGCAAAATCTTTTCTTAAAATATTCCTATAAGTTTGTGAAATCATGATTCGGAGTGCTACCGTAATCCGTTACTTTGCTTTGAAATCCGTTTATAGTTTTAAGGAAAATGGTTTATCATAATATAAACAATCCAACTGATAATCGGACTAAAAGCCTAAGTTTGACAAACATGAAAAGTCAGCGGAAGTCGTAGCGTGGCAAAACATGTAATTCAAACTACGGGAGATCGTAACAACACTGCTATGCCGAATCCAAACATATAAACAAAATCCTGAACCGCCCGCCAGCTCACAACTCCGGCTCGACTCTATGACCTAAAAAATGTAGATAAACATGGGGCGTGAGCACTAAAGTCCACTGTGCTCCGTAGGAACTCATACTAAAGTAAACAGTGAAAATAATTGCAATATCATGATCCTCGTATATATATGAACATAGCATGATA